GAGTAGATTCCAACTCATGGTGACCCCATGTGTGTTGGAGTAGACTGTGCTGCACAGGGTTTTCAATGGCTGGTTTTTAAGAAGTAGATCACCATGCCTTTCCTCTGAGGTGCCTCTGGGTGAGTTCAAACCTCCAATCTTTCAGTTAGCAGTGGAGTGCATTCTAACCGTTTGCTGCCATCCAGGGACTCCAAGGGCCCAAAAATAAAGAGTAGTAATAAATTGTGCTCTCAGAGGCAACACTGGGCAGACGACAGAGGAATGAGGTGTCTTCTGAATGGGGGACTCTCAAAATGATTTTGTATAAATGACCTCCTCCTTTCTCTGGCTGAGGCCATTCCTGACTTTCAAATAATAGTAATAGCAAACCATCTGCTGAACACTTAACATAAACTTTACATATACTAATTCACATATTTCTCACAACAACCCCCTGAGGTAGGTTTTGTTAAATCTTCATTTTATAGGCAAGGAAATGGAGGCCTAGAGAAGTTAAGTAACTTGCCTAAGTTAAGACCCAACAGGGAACAAATGGCAGAGCTGGGATCTGAACCCAGTTAGTCTGACTCCAAAGCCCTTGACCTCGTTGCCTCTCTTACCCCACCACACTGAACTGCCTCTGATTTCTACCTCTCTATGGAGCCAGCCCTGAGATGTATTCGGCCAGGTTGAAAAGGCCAGGGGTTCCGAGGAGCCTGTTTTAGAGACCCAGAACCCCTTTCAGGGATGTCTCACCGCTCCCCACCCACTTTACACCCTTTCCTGCTGTGTCTCTGTGACATCACCTGAGACCAAACCAGCTCATCCTGAAATGCAGCCCTTGGGGAGTTGAGCAGTGGAGGAGCCGGCTGGGGCAGCTGGCTGGGGTGGCCTGTGTGGGCAGGAAGGCTGCCCCTCTTGCTGCCAAGGCCCAAGGCCTCTGCTCAACACCGCCTCAGTAGCTCCTTTGCAAACTCTTGACTCTTGGCTTGGCTGCGTTAGGCCTGAGTGATGCACGGGCCAATGCCTTGCTCCCAGTCGGCTCACTGCCCAGGGTTTGCAGTAGCACCTACTGCAGAAGACACCCTCAGACTCAGGGCCCCGTGCTCAGAAGGGCCTCGTGCTTCGTTTAATGCTCTGCTGTCACCATCTTGACGCTCTTAATAATATTTGAACAAGTGACCCCGCCTTTACACTTTGCGTTTGCAAATCACGTAGCTGGGAGTCTCCCCAGTGTGCAGATCTAAAGGTGACCACGGGAGAGAGCGGGGAGCAGGCAGGAAGGCAGGAGTCCTAGTTCAGGGTCAGTGCTCACCAGGTTAGTGCTCAGCATGCTTGTGGACAGCAGGACACTGGACTCACACATTTCTTTGGATGGTGTGAATTTAGCAGATTAAAATTAGTTTGTTCAGTTACTCTCACATAATATCCACTGAATGTGCCATTTCTTACTAGTAGGAACATTAGAAACGAGGGTCAAGGCCAGATTTGAGCAGAGAAGTGAGCCTGGTCTCTCTGCTTGCTGCCTGAGGTTGTTGAACAGTTGGACGGTTCTCGCTTTCCATGTGGGAAACCTGGGTTCGATTCCCGGCCAATGCATTTCATGCTCAGCCACCATTTGTCTGTCAGTGGAGGCTTGTGTGTTGCTATGATGCTGAAAGGGTTCCAATGGCGCTTCTAGATTATGATGGACCAGGAAGAAAGGCCTGGCAGTCTACTTCTGAAAATCAGCCAGTGGAAACCCTATGAATCACAGCTGTTAGATCTGCAACTGATCTTGGGGATTGTGATGCATGACCTGGTAGCGTTTTGTTTTGTTGTGCATGGGGTCTCCATGATTCAGGGCCGCCTTGACAGCAGCCAACAACAACGACCTGTCTGATACAATCCTGAAATCTCATTATAATTAAACCCTTCCCTTGGATCTTGCCATTAGCCAAGCATCTGCTCAAATGCAAACGTACCCTCTCTAGAAACTTGCTGCCTCAGTTATCAGCCCTGTCCCCGCTCCATCCCCTTCACTCTAGATTTCCAGCCTCTCCTTCCTGACTGGCCCTTTTCCCTCAGCCTTCAAACAGGCTGAGTTCTTCCTGCACTCACAGTCCTGGTGCTCAGGCAAACCACAATCCAAATTCTCTCCCTCCTCTACTGTCCTACCTCAGATGGAGCCAGTTCCTCACCCCTCATCCTCCTGCTTTCTGGCTTCCATCCTCTCAACTCCATTAGAACTGTCATCTCAAAGGTCACCTATCAATGGTTCACACTTTTGTAAGCTTTGATCTCCTGGGGCCACATATAATTTAGGGCCACACTATGACTTTCATGGCCTGAGGCTTTTTTGCCTTTGGAAGCCCTCTATAAAAAAATATCGAGTATGATATTTTATGACTATGTCATGGATTGAATTGTGCCCTGCCCCCAAAACAATATGTGTCAACTTGGTTAGGCCATGATTCCCAGTATTGCGTGGTTGTCCTCCATTCTGTGACTGATATAATTTTCCTATATGTTGTAAATCCTAATCTCTGCCTATGGTTAAAGAGGCAAGATTGGATTATGTTGAAGAGGATTAGGGTGGGATATAATATGCTTGCTCAGGTCACATCCCTGATCCAATGTAAAGGGATGTGGTGTGTGGCCTGCACCACCTTTTATCTTACAAGAGATGAAAGGAAAGGGAAGAGAGCAGAGAGTAGGGGACCTCATACCACCAAGAAAGCAGCGCCGAGAGCAGAGCATGCCCTTTGGACCTGAGGATCCTGTGCTGAGTTGCTCCCAGACCAAGGGGAGACTGATGACAGGGACCTTCCTTCAGAGCTGATACGGAGAGAAAGACTTTCCCTGGAGCCGGTGCCCTGAATTCGGACTTCTAGCCTACTGGACTGTGATAGAATAAACTTCTCTTTGTTAAAGCCATCCACTTGTGGTATATCTGTTACAGCAGCACTAGATGAGTAAAACAGACCTTAAAGGAGTCTCTGGGTTGTGCAAATGGTTAACATGCGCAGTTGCTAACTGAAAGATTAGAGGTTTGAGCCCACCCACAGTCACCTCTGAAGAAAGGCCTGGCGATCTACATTGGAATAATCAGCCATTGAAAATCTTATAAAGCACAGTTTTACTCTGACACACAAGAGGTTGCCATGAGTCAGGGTTGAATTGATGGCAACTGGTTATTGGTATAAAGAGTCTGGATTGTATTGATTTTTTTTTTTTTCCGTATTTTAGAAGATACTGAAACTTTTCCATGGGTCCTTAAAGTATCCACTGAGCCTAATGGAAAACTTGGCCCTGCTTTGAAGGGCCAGATAAAGTTGAGTAATGCTTTCTTGAAGATTTTTCTCTTTGGAAAACCTTTTTTGATTTTGTTCCTTTTATTGGTAAAACAATATAGTTACAAAGAACATTTTAAGGAATTGAAAAAAAAAACACTATATCCTAACACAACTCTTTTTATTTGTGTGATTCACTGTGCCATTGGTTACAATTTTTATAATGAGTCAGCATTCTCATTATTCCCATTCTGTTCTGTTTCCATTGATCTAGCTTCCCTTCCCCTCCTTGCCTTCTCACCTTTGCTTTTGGGTAAGTGTTGACCATTTGGTCTCATACAGTTCATTGTTTAAGGGAGCACATTACTCACGGGTGATACTGTTTCTTTTTTAATAGTATCTATTATTTGGCTGAAAGTTAACTTGCAGAAATAGCTTCAATTCCGCATTCAAAGGTTATCTTAGGGAGATAGTCTCAGGGGTTTCTCTAGTCTCTTGGTCCAGTAGGTCTGGCCTTTGTAAGGAATTTGAGTTTTGTTCTACATTTTTCTTCCATTCTATCCTGAGCTTTCTAATGTGTCCCTGGTCAGAACAGTTGGTAGTGGTAGCAGGGCACCATCTAACTCTTCTTGTCTCCGGTTAGAAGAGGCTGTGATTTGTGTGGGCTATTAATCTCGTGGATTAGTTTCTTCTTTGAGCCTTTGATTTCCTTCACTCTCTTTTGATCCATACGAGTAGAGACCAATAGTTTATTTTAGACGGCCACTCCCAAACTTTTAAGACCCTGGACTCTACTCACCAAACTAGGATGTAGAACATTATCTTTGTGAACTATATTATGCTGATTGAATAAGTTGTCTCCCAAGATTCTGGTTACAAGCCTTTTGACCCAATAAACCAACCCCGAGAGTTATTTGGATATGTCTAGGAAGCCTCTGTAACTGTGTCCCTTATGTGTGGATATATATTATTGCTGTCCCTTCTCCCTTCCCTAGATTGAGTCTGGTCCATCTGGTGTTTCTGTATATCCTCCCCCCAGGTAGTCTGCGTCATGGCTTCAGCTATTAGTTTTATAGGGCTGTGGAAAACGGGCCTTGAAGATGGTTCTTCCGAATGGTAATTCGTGTTCAGAAATTTGTTATATTTGACCTGCTCGAGCCCTTTCACACTGCAGGGCTTACATTTGAGAGACATTGAGGCCATGGGGCAGGGTCTGGTTAAACTGTGTTCTAGTAATGGGACTAGGGTATCAGAGGCTGAAGGCTCCTTAGAGATGATCCATTCCAACTGCATTATTTTACAGGTAAGAAACTGAGCTTAAGGTGGTTAACAGACTTGATCATGGTTATAGCCAGTGAGCAGGGACTTGAAACTTGGGTCCTTTGATCCCAAAGCTTTATACTCTTTCCTCAACAGCATGCTCTCTGAATTTGTTGAAGAGGAACTTTAGTTTATATTGTTTTACCATTAAAATGAGCATTTATCTTATATAATTCTGTTTATAATTATTTAGTTCCCCATTTTATTTAAATAGTACCTTAATGGGAAGAAAAATAGAAATATTCCACGACACAGTTCTTAGCTAAGTTCACACTTTGAAATTATCTGGACTATTACAGGAGTACTTCAGCTACTCAAGTCCTAGACAGTACTAATATCACTTATTTTCTTAAAGTTCACTTTGTCTCTAAGGGTCTGTTGACTCACTTATTACTATGATTTTTAACAGTCAAAGTCAGTTAATCTTACCGGTTTAGAGATAAGGAGCAGATCAGTCTTTGTCCCAAAATAATCAGGCCGACATTGGTACTAGCAACCTGCAGACAACAAAAGCATTCATTACAAAGAGGAGTGAATCTGTCCATTTTTGGCCACAAATCAGAGCCCTGGTGGTGCAGTGGTTAAGAGCTCATCTGCTAACCAGAAGGTTGGCAGTTCAAATCCACCAGCCACTCCTTGGGGCAGTTCTACTCTGTCCCATAGGGTCACTATGAGTTAGAATTGACTCGACGGCAACAGGTTTGGTTTGGTTTTATAGCGGAAACATCATATGCTCCACTTTCCTTCTCATTCTGAGGAATACTGGAAAGAAATATCTCTAAAAATGCTGTCTTTCTAACTCACGAAAAGAGACCAGATTTACTGGCCTGACAGACTGGAGAAACTCCGAGAGTATGGCCCCCGGATACCCTTTTAGCTCAGAGGTGAAGCCACTCCCGAGGTTCACTGCTCAGCTGGGGACTGGACAGCCCCATAAAACAAAATGGGACTAATGTGGCACAGCAGTCCAGGGACAAGGACTAGAAGGCAGGAGGGGACAAGAAAGCTGGTGATAGGGAACCCAAGGTTGAGTAAGGACAGTGTTGACATGTCATGGGGTTGTTAACCATTGTCATAGAGCAATATGTGTACTAACTGTTTAATGAGAAACTGTTTGTTCTGTAAACCTTCATCTAAGGTACAAAAAAACAAAAACAATTATCTATGTGAGATCAAACTGACAACAGCAACTCAAAAGGTTTGATGCGAAGCTTAGGGGGCAGTGAGTTGAAGATAATGGTGATGGAATAAATTGGAAAAGGATAGTGAGAATAGCAGCACAACTGGAAGAATGTAATCAATGTCACTGAATTGTACATGTAGAAATTTCTGAAATGGTGTATCTCTGGCTATGTATATTTTCACCAGAAAAAAAAAAAAAGGTCGTCCAAGGTCAAGAAGGGAGAGTGTTGACATGCCGTGCGATTGTTAACCAATGTCATAAAACAATATGTGTACTGACTGTTTAATGAGAAACTGTTTGTTCCATAAACCTTCACCTAAAGTACAATAAAAAAAAATTAAAAAAAAAATAAAAATGCTGTTTTTCAGGTAAGAAAACTAACTAAAGACTTTTTGTTTGAGAATTTCCCTTAAATGATTTTTTATTCATTCCTAATCTCTTTTTTCCATGCACTCTGTGTGTGTATGTGAGAGAGAGACATTTTGCTTGGATTCATTGTATTAGTCTCCTTCTATCAAATTGCACTTGACCTTCATTGGCTCAAATAAACTTCAGTTCCACCTTGATTGACTCATTTTGAGGAAAAAGATTCAGCTATCAATGTAAGAGAAGCAGTGTGAAGGGCACACAGGAAGGAGAGAAGGGTGAGAGAGATATTTTATAATGATTAAGGGTATGAAGGAGCCCTGGTGGCACATTGGTTAAGCACTCAGCTGCTAATCGAAAGGTTTGTGGTTTGAACCCACCCAGCAGCTCTGAGGGAGAAAGACCTGGCGATCTGCTTCTTTAAAGATTAAAAACCCATTGCCATCGCGTTGAATTCTGACTCATAGTGACTCTACAGGACAGAATAGACAGAATAGAACTGCCCTGCCCCACAGAGTTACAGACTAGAAAAATCCTACAGGGTAGTTCTATTCTGTCACATGAGGTTGCTATGATCAAAATCGACTCAATAACACCCAACAACGGCAACAACAACATGGAGGCATGATTACTGGCCTACCATCCTCCATTCTCCACCTGTCCTCACTGTTAACTGATGGATCAGCCCCCACCCCTCTAAACAGTTGGAAGCTGCTGGTCAACAGTCCAGAGCAGGAACAGGATTGGCATCCACAGGCTGCCCTCCTGGCTCCGCATACTTACAAAGTCCATGGAAACGATAGTTTTAGCAGTTGCGTTCTCAGATTGGGTGAGCATCATGACAGAGGCAGGGATGTCCAGGGTGAAGTTACCCGGTTGTAAATTGATCACAGGAGGCTTTGTTGCCATGAACCGGACCATAAAGGGCTGGAACAAGGTGTAGATCTCTGCAATCTGCCCATTCAGGGAAAGAAAACAAGGATTAAGGGCTGTGAGTTGATGGAGGAAATCTAAATTTGAGGTGACATTTGGTAACTAAATTTTACATCATGGAGAATAAGAATTATTAGTTATTATTATTATTAGTTAGAATAGACAAGAAAGCTCTTTAATAATAATAACAATAATACTCACAAAATCCCCAACAATAACAGCTGACATTTACTGAACATATATATTGCATGCCAGGCACTATGCCAGGCCTTTATGTATTAGGTCACTTAATCTGCACAAACTCCCTGTGAGGCAGGTGCTCTCAGTATCTCTGTTTCACAACTGAGGAAAGTGAGTCTTAGAGAGGTTAAGTAATTTTCTCAAGATTCCAGGCATGTAAGTTGTAGAACTGGAATTCAAACTCTGGTCTGTCTGACTCTCAAATCAAGATGCCGCATGACCATCTTTCTGTCCTTAAAGGCAAAACCTGTGCCTCTCGATACATTATGTCCAATACTTAGCTATGCTAATGCATAATATGCAACGAAGGCATAATATTAATAGTTGCTTTTTGGTTTTAGCAAAGTCACAAATGATGGAAACTAGTCCTTCACTTTCCATTTAAACTAATTATTTCAAAAGTGGTGGAATCATGTAGATGAAACAGATGATTTATTTTGTGAACTTTCAATGCCTTGATTAGTAACTTGTATTGCTCAGTGAATATTTACAGATATTTGATTAAAAACAAACAAACAAAACTCTTAAGAATGTAAAGATGGACTCACGCTTGGACCAAAAAGGAATATAAAGAACCTACTAGTCTTCCAGAAGTACCTGTAATGAAACAAAATTTACTACCAAGGAGTCAAACCCTTAGCACTCACCCGGGAGAGCACATTGCCAAAGCCTTGGAAGTTTTGAACAAAATGATTGGAAATCTGGAAATTAAGGATCAAAACATTAGTGTAAGATCTTTTACCTGGCTTTGCTTTATAGGGAAAATGAAGTGTTCCCTATAATTTTATAAATTATGAAGCTGTTGCACCACAAAATGTTTGGTATTTGAAGGCAACCTATCATCCTATAGCACATTTACAGGAAATCTGACACCCAGAGAAATAAAGCAACTTGTTCAAGGTCATGTAGGAAGTTAAGACTTTTCAGTAAGTGTCTGTTAACCTTGGGAACACTGTATCTATCATATACGTATCAGCCATGTATATAAACATTTTATAGTCGTTAACAATAAGCCTTGTATTATTGTCCTCATTTTTATAGATTATCGAGGCACATGATGCTTAAGTGATTTACCTTCACAAATGAATGGTTTTCAGGTAGGAAGTTAGAAGTGTCTGATTCTCAGCGCTGCAAAGTAGCTGGTGTTACCACACTTAGGACTTTGAACATAAGATTTATAACTACTTGTATAAGTAAGACCAATAGAGCCGTGGTGTGATAGATCACTGTTATGTGTGGCCTTTCTAGCCATGGTCCTGTGTCTCCCACTCAAGTGATTGGGCAGACTGTGTAATAGGGTAATTGTGGCCCACCAAAGGTACTGGTCAGTTTTGTCATCCCTCTGGGCTTGAAATGAACCATTCCAGAGGTGGGAAATGAGGAGAATCCCACCAACACAAGGGAAGAACAGCTGGGAGTCAGCGTGTCCTTTGGACCCAGGATCCTTGTGCTGAGAAGCTCCTGGAACCAGGAGACTCAAAGAGTGAGCTAGCTGCAACCCTGAAGATGCTGAGAAGTGGTGTCAGGAGAGACCTGGCAGGAGAAACCTGGCAGCAGAGACCCGGCAGCAGGAAACAAGTCAGTGGGATTCCCGGCCTGGCCCATGGAGAAAGAAAGCTGAATGTCTTTGGGCAGAGGCCTAGGGCCAGGGAGAGGCGTGCCAGCTTAGCTGGGAAGAGGCTGTCCTGATGGAAGAACTGTATCCTTGAGTGTTCCTGAGCCTGAATTGTAACCTGTTGCTTCCCTAATAAACCTCATAATCATGAGTATGGTCTGTGAGTTCTGTGTGGCCATTGAGAAGTAGAGAGTTCTGTGGGAGGGACGACTGGCGATAGAGTTGGTAAAGATGGCGGAGAGAGGAGGCCTGTCTGACTTCCACCTCTCAGGAATCAGCCTTGGGCTGTTGATCGTGATTCTCCTTTCCTTTGTGAAGTTAGAGGAGGTCAGACACTGCCCCCAAGCCATTTTTACAAGAGCAAAAAGAATCATAAGGGATTTCAACAAATGTCGTTGGTTGACTGGTTGGAGAAAGTGTTCTCCTTATAAGAAGGAGGCACATGGCAAAGAGAATCAGTGAGTATCTGTACTATTACTGGTCCCTGTGGATAAATCAGTTGCAATTGCTAACAGGAGAGACTTTTTTTTATTGTGGTAAGAATACACATATGTATCAGAACATTTACCAGTTCAACAATTTTTCTACGTATAATTCAGTGACATCGATTATGTTTTGCAACCATTACCACTATCCATTTCCAAATTATTCCACCACATTAACAGAAACTCAATGCCCCCTAAGCAATGACTCCCCTCTCTCCCTTCTCCCAGCCCTGGCAACCACTAATAAGCTTTGGTCTCTATACATCTGCCCTTTTCATGTAAGTGGGATCATACAGTACTTGTCCTTTTGTGTCTGACTTATTTCACTCGGCATAACATTTTTAAGGTTCATCCATGTTGTAGCATGCACCAGGACTTCAGTTCTCTTTATGGTTGAGTAATATCCCATTGTATGTATATACCACATTTTATTTATCCAGTCATCAGGAGAAATCTTTATGTTGGCGTAACGCAACGAGTAATAATACTGATGATGTTAAGCAACACTTATTTAACACTTACTATTTGCCAGACATTGGTATTCATGCTTTACATGTATTTAAACCTCTTTAATGCCCATATTAGCTCTTTGAGTGTGGAACTATTATTATCTCCATTTTCCAAATGAGGAAACTGGCACAGAGAAGTTAAATTAATTGAAATTACCCATGGTCACAGATAATAAGTGGTGTTGGTGGTGGGGAATCTTGAAATTCTTTAAGGTCAATCTGCAAAAGTCTCCAGGTATCACGAAAAAACCCGACATTAACAGAACTGGGAACAACTCCCCAACTAATAACAATGTTCGCTTCAGAATTCCTCAATTCATTGTCCTGCTATGAGTGTCAGCTCACAAATAGAAACCATGACATGAAAGTCTTATAATGGGATACTTATAAAAAGATTAAATACTAGTGCCAACTGCCATCATGTGTTCACTCTACTCACCTCTTTTGTGGAGAAAGTGACATTGAAAGCCCCAGCTGTGAAGTGAGCAAAGGATGCAGATTTAAAGAAATAGTCAGAGATTCCAACATAGAGCATAGAGTCACTGCGTTCAGGGAGTGTAAATGGAACTGGTGAGAAGGGAGGGTCAGCAAGGTTTTCCAGTGGGTAGAATGTGCCCTGTGGGAAAACAGAGAGAAAGAGTAATGTACCAGGTAAAAACTCAAATGTGCAGGATTAAAGAAGGTAGACTCTCTCAAGTCAGAATAAGCGAAATTCCAGAAACTAGACAAAAACAACAGCAACAACAAAAACAATGCAGTTGCCCGTGGAGTCGATTCTGACTCATGGCGACCCTATGTGTTTCAGAGTAGAACTATGCTCCATAGGGTTCTCAATGGCTGTGACCTTTTAGAAGTAGACCACCAGGCCTATCTTCTGAGGTGCCTGTGGGTGGACTCGAACCTCTAACCTTTTTGTTAGCAGCTGAGCGTATTAACTGCCCGGATGGCCCAGGTCCTCCAGATACTCCATAGGAATGAAAAAATGATCAGGTCTTCTAATTTCTTCACCAGTAACTATGCTTAAAAGCTCTAATGACTTCTTGTGCGTATTTAAGCATGTCTATCCACCGTGGGGTATAACCCAGTGGGACTCTCCTTGCTGGTACCTTTCTCAGAGAAAGGAAAGCAGGGGCATTTAGCTGGAAAGGACCAGTTCTGAACAGCTCCTAAAGTGCCGCGTAGAGATGTCAAACCCTTGACCTTCAAAACCTGTGACTGCTGAGCACCTGAGGAGTCACAGAAAGAGCCAGAAGGACCCAGGACTCCAAATGGTTTAAAGCATTTTTGTGGCGTTCCTAACCCTGTTCTCATTAGTCCTGGGTGTTATTCCAAAATCTTGCCTTGTATAATATTTAGCTGATTTGAATGACTCTGAATGAGTGAAATATAAGCCATTGTGCATTTTAAAAAGCAATGACGTTAGCCTTGGGAATAAGACTAAACATAAGCACAATTAAGCGCTTTGTCAGAATCAGCAAACACATTTTCATGTGCTAATGGCTCTGAGAGTTAAGAATAAAAGTATTAACGTGTGTAATCTACTCATGTGTCAAGTTCAATATATTGAGACTACTCTTCTTGCTGCTTTCTAGCCTCAAACCTATTCCCAGAGGCAAAGACATCATGATATACTTCTTGTGAAGAAGGCAGACATATGTTGTACATTCCAAATAATCATTTGCTGATCAAGAAAATGTTCTAGAGTCTTTTGAAAGAGCATAAACATGAAGGAATTGCTTGAAAGGAAAGGAAATTATTTGAAGAACATGTACGTTTATTTCTTTTTGCACATATTTGCTCTCCAAATACTGACTGTTGACAGTCAGGATGAGGATTCTGATGATGATAAAGTTACCTTCAAATTCAGGTCCATGTAATTCTCAGTAACTTCTGGAGAATCGATTAGGGAATAATCCAGCAGAGTATGGTTGTCGATCTTGGTTAGAACTAAACAACCAAGAGAAAAAAAGTCTAAATTCAGTAAAAGCATAGGATAATATCAATATATAAATAATGTCTATCCATGGTAATATAATTTTTAATCCTCTATTTAAAATAACAATTCCCCTTTCCAAAAGTAATACACGTGTACTTTTGGAAAACCCAGGAAAAATAGATACGTCAAAAAAAGAGAGTGAAAATCCTTTATAATCACATTACCCTGAGAAGCATCAGTAAAATTTTGGAGTATATTCTCTTAGGCATGTGTGTGTGCACACACACAGACACACACACACACAGACACACACACAATATACATCTTTCTTTAAAAAAAAAAAATTAGCACAAAGTCCCTTATCAATACCAAGCCACACATACTGGGTTGGTATAATGAGAGACTTTCAAGCTTTCAAGCTCTATGTTATAAATGTAGCTAGATCTTTATTTATTTATTTTTTTTACAACGAGTATGACTTACTGTTGTAACTTGAAATACTTTTAAAAAGGAGATATTGTGTGTGCGTGCATGCGTGCGTGTGAGTGAGAGAGAATACACTCCACTTAATTGGAGAGGCCAAGAAAATTCCCATGCACACAGTGCTACTAATTTAAGAATTTTTTTATTTTCATTTTTAGAGGAGAGTAGAAGGGGATCAGGGAATAGTGGGTAGAGTTCTCCAAAACAAAACAAAAAAAATTACCATTGAGTTGATTCCGACTCATGGTGACCCCATGTGTGCCCCTGAGTGGTGCAAATGGTTAATGCATTTGGCTGCTAATTGAAAGGTTGGAGGTTTGAGTCTATCCAGAGGCCCCTTGGAAGAAAGGCCTGGCCATCTACTTCCAAAAAGTCAGCTATTGAAAGCCCTGTGGAGCACAGTTCTACTCTGACACATGTGGGGTCACCAGGAGTTGGAATCGACTCCATGGCAACCAATTTTAGAGTTCTCAGGAAGCATGAATTTCAGGGTCTGAGACAGGCTGTATAGGCGGTGGTGTGGTGCTTGGGTTTCCAATTTGGCCTGGGGAGAGTTGCTTTCCTGATCACCACATGAATATCACATTTTCTCTTCTTGCATGTCATATTTGGTTTGTGCCATTTGATGGAGAGAAGAAGCAAGAAGAGATGAAGTGACTTGCTAAGGTAAGGGAATAATAACTGGTGGCGCAGTGGTTAAAGTGATTGAATGCTAACCGAAAGGCCGGCAGTTTGAAACCATGGAAGAAAGATGTGGCAGTCTGCTTCCATAGAGATTTACAGCCTCAGAAACTCTATGGGGTCGCTAAGAGATGGAATCGAGTCAACGACTGTGGGTTTGTTTGTTTGTTTTTTAATTTGGTTTATGTTACTATTTAAAAATACTTTCAAATTTCAATCTCAGTGGACCCCAATTATCACTCTGTGAGGGAAGCAGGACAGTAGCCATTTAATAGGCAAGGAGACTGAGACTCCCAGAGGTAAAGAAATTTTCTCAAGGCAAACTGTTGTTGTTGTTAGGTGCTATTGAGTCAATTCTGACTCATAGCGACCCCATGTGACAGAGCAGAACTGCCCCACAAAGTTTTCTAGGTTGTAATCTTTACAGAAGCAGATAGCCAGGTCTTTCTCCTGCAGAGTATCTGGGTGGGTTTGGTCTGCCAGTCTTTTGGTTAGCTGCTGAGTGCTTAACTATTCGTGCCACTAGGGCTCCTCCAAGGCAAACTAGGACATGGGAATCCTCGTCCAGTTCTTTCCTCACTACATCTTCTTTCTTTTTTCCTCCCTTCCCAATCCATTTCTTTTCTTTCATCCATATACATCCATTCATCAGTCTTTCCCTCCATCCATCAATCCAGTATTTATTGAACCTCGTAGTTCTCTGGAGTCCTGGTGGTACAGTGGTTAAGATCTTGGCTAACTAAAAGGTTGGCAGTTCAAATTCACCAGCTGCTCCATGGAAACTCTCCAGGGCAGTTCTACTCTGTCCTATAGGGTCGCTATCAGTTGAAACTGTCTCGACAACAGGTTTAGTATTTTTTTTTTTTCAGGAGGTCCCTAGATGGCACAGATGGTTTGTGCTAGGCTGCTAACCTTAAGGTGGGCGGTTTGAACCAGGGCTTCAAACTGGTTCGCTCCTCTTCGAATCCCTGCTGAGAATTTGCATTTCTAACAAGTTCCCAGGAAGTTATACATAAGAATCATCTGGGGATCTGTTAAAATGTAGATTCTGATTCAGTGTATCTAGGGTGGAAATGCAAATTTTCAGCAAGGAACTTGTTAGAAATGTGAATTCTCAGCAGGGTTCGAAGGAGAAAAGGAACTGGTTCTAAGCCTTGGTTTGAACCTACCCAACAGTACAGCAGAAGAAAAGGCCTGGTGATCTGCTCTGTTTCCATTAAGATTACAGCCAAGAAAATGCTATGGGGGCAGTTCTGCCCTATGACATATGGGGTTGTCATGAGTCAGAATTGACTCCATGGCAACTAACAACAAGAGTATTGGGCTGGGTCTGGGAGTATTGCCTGGGTCTGGGAACACAGATGAGTCAGACAGAGTTCCTGCCCTCAAGAAACTCATAGTCTGACAGAGAAGACAGACATATAAGCACGACATTACAAAGCAGTGTAGTAAGTGCAGATCTAAAACTGAGCTCCTGATAGTTCTACTACAAACCCATTTTTCTTATAATCTTCTCCATCTCAGTAAATGGTAATTCCATTCTTCCAGTTTTACAGTTGCTCAGGGTAAAAACCTGGTGTCATCCCCGACTCCTCTTATGACTCACATTCGATCTGTCAGCAAACACCACTATCTCTACCTTCAAAGTATATCCAGAACCTGAACATTTCTTACCACTTTCTTCACTCCACCTAAGCCAGTTGCTATAATTGATCACTTACATTGCTGCAGTAGTCTCTTAATTGGTTCCACACTTACCCAATTCTTCCTGTCTATTAATAACACAGAAGCCAGAGTGACCTTGTTCAAATATAAGTCAGGTCATGCCAGCCCATGCTCAGAACTTTCCATCTCTCTCAAACTTACTAAGAGCCAGTCTTTGCAATTGCCTACAGAGCCCTGAAGATCTAACCATGCTCTTTCCCCATCCCCTCTTTGACCCCACCTCTGACTATTTTCCTCCTCACTCCCTCTGCTCCCAGTGCTGGCCTCCTTCCATTTCCCTACACACTTGGCATGCTCCTTCTTCCGGGTTTATGTACTTGTGGGTTCCTCTACCTGGAACATTCTCCATCCAGAAGTAGGAGAGGCTCACTCCCTACTTCCTTCAGGTCCTTACTCTAACATCACCTGCTCAGTGATGCCCTTCCTGGTCACACTCTCTAAAAAGAAAACCTTTTCCCAGTCCTTCCCTACAATTATGTTTCTTCTTGGATTTTACTTATTTATGTTTCTTTTTGAATGTCTTCTTCCATTAGTGCCACGAGCGCAGGGATTTTTGTCTTCCAGGTTTATTGCTGCATTCCTAGACCCTGAACAAACCAAAAAACCAAACCTGTTGCCATCGAGTCGATTCTGACTTATAGTGACCTTACTGGATTTCCAAGCCCTATAGGGTTTCCAAGGAGCAGTTGGTAGACTCGAACTGCCGACCTTTTGATTAGCAGCCGAGCTCTTAACCACTGTGCCACCAGGACTCCAGACCCAAACAGAGCCCTGCCTATTAAAAGTGCTCAATACATTATTGGTGAATGCATACAGGAAGAGGAAAGAGAGAGATGCTTCCAAAGTATCATGGGAACACTGGGAGAAAAATGTGACCGTTTGCTCCTGTAAAGATTACAGGCTTGGAACCCCACTGGGGCAGTTCTACTCTGTCTTAAGAGTCAGAATCCACTCGATGGCAATGGGTTTTATCATGAGAACATAGAGGAGATGTGATTTTTTGGTGTGTGGGCTGTCAGGTAAGATTTCTTGAAGAGATTATGGCTGGGCTGAGTCTTCAAAGATAAAGAGGAGTGGATAGAACAAGAGAAGGGTGAAGGGTAGAGAGTGGAAGGGCAGGGCTTAGCACAGTACTGGCACAGAAATAGGTACTCAACAAACATCTATGAAATGAGTAAATTAGCAGAGGGAAGAGAAAGCTCTCCAAAACAGAGAGGAAAGGCAGGAGGTATAGGGGGCAGGAGAAGCAGCTTGATTACTTGAAAAGTACAAGGTGAAGCCGAGAGAGGAACCGGAGCATGGTGAGTCCATGTTAAAGCCTTTGGACTGGATCATAAAGAAAGTAAGTAGCCTCTGAAAGAGTTAGGGCAGGGGAATAACCTGGTCAGATGGGCATTAATCATTCTGAAGAGGATGGATTTTGTGTCAGAGTGAGGATTAAAGCTCATGAGGGTTGAATTCCCTGACTGGCATATAGTCCCCAGGAGCCACCCTTCCCTGCAGTGGACGTGAAGTTGGACTTGCAGTTGGTTACCAGCAGAAGAGAACATGCCCTATACACAGAGCGTGTCCTCCCCAGACACCTTCCTGTGGTGCTAATTGGCGGAGGGTAAAGCATAATGAAGAGCTGGAGCTGTACTGCATTGAAAAGCAAACCTGAAGCCCACAAACAATTGAAGGTGGGAAGAGAACCAGCCAGAAGAGACAATTCTAAGACTCACCCTCCAGCATGCTAAGATTAGCATTTAGTGCTCCAGCCTCACTGGTGATCATAGGACAGAGCTGGCCACAAAAGGAATTAAAAAAAAAAAAAAAAGCAAGTTATCATATTGTCCTACAAACTAGAAACCCCTATTTATGGCCCTAGACCCTGCAAACAAAGGCCATCCGGTTAGGAGACGATCTCTCTTTGGTCATCAAGACTTTCCCTTAAATTAGTTGATGCCTGTGGGCCTTAAGATACTTCAATGGCACATCATTGAATCTCCATAGCAACTGGGTCTACACCCTGCTAGCCCCGTAAAAGAGCGAGCCCTTTGCTTTTCTCTCTGTGGCATGACAGGGCACATGTCCCAGTCCATGCTACTGCTGTCAGACCTGAGGAAACTGCTGCCCAACGACCATCCCTTTCCCCACTGCCGGGGGTGCCATCTACCTCCTGCCTCCTCTGGCAGTGGCCCCACGACCAGCCTGGAGTGTTTAGATCAGCTGCCTTTCCTTTTCCCCTGGGCTAGTCTGAGAGCCCAATAGATCAGAGCTGAAAGAGCCATTTTGTAGCTTCCTCCCTTTGCAATCAGAAAATTAGTCTTTAACAGATTAAATAGTATCTGTAGAAGGGTGAATAAGGAGCCTGGGTGGTGCAAGCAGTTTGCAATAGTTGTTAATCCAAAGGTTGGTGGTTTGAATCCACCAGCAGCTCCACAGAAGAAAAGACCTGGCAATCTGCTTCCAAAAAATCACCCTGGAAATCTACTTCCAAAAAATCAGCCTTTGAAAGCCCTATAGAGCTCAGTTCTACTCTGAGGCACATGGGATCGCCATGAGTCAAAGTCAACTGGTGTAGAGGGGTGAAGACTGCCAACATTGATGTACCTGCTGTGTGTGAGGCGTGGTGCTAAGCACTCAGCGTAGTGGTTAGGAGCAGAGTCTGGATGCCTAGGGTTGAATCCCTTGGCAAGTTACTTGTACTCTCTGTCCTCGATTTCCCCATCTGTGACATAGGGATAATAATTCTAACTACCTGATTAGATTGTTGAGAGTGGAAATGGAGGTAATCCACATAAAATTGCCCAGCTCATAGGAAGCATTCAGCCAATATTAGCTATTGTTGTTTTAACCTCTTTTCATCCTCAATTACAACCTTGAAAGGCAAGTACTACTGTCTCCTACTTACAGATGAGAAAACGGAAACTTAGAGAGATAAAGCAGTTGTATGGAGTTATATAGCTAGAATTTGAAATCGGATCTGGCACACCTGGACAGCTGTGGGCTGAGCCTTCTTTTCTACCTTCTAGTGGCACAGAGGCCATCCTTGTTAGTATAGTGGTGAGTGTCCCTGCCTGTCACGCGGCAGACCGGAGTTCGATTCCCTGACAGGGAGGCTGAATTCAACTTCTTGGAGACCAGGTGGCACAGTGGTTAAGCGTTGGGCTGCTAACCAAAAGGTTGGCAGTTCAAATCCACCAGCTGCTCCTTGGAAACCCTATGGGGCAGTTCCACTCTGTCCTATAGGGTCACTATAAGTCAGAATTGACTTGACAGTAATTTTTTTTTTTTTTTAGTGACACAGAGAGAATTATAGAAGCAACGTATCTACTCTCTCTAAGTGGTATATTTAGACTCCACAGAAACATTATTGGCTGAGTGTGTTGGGTGCCATTGAGTTGATTCTGACTCACAGCGACCCCATGTGATAGCATAGAACTGCCCCATAGATTGCCAGATCGAGCGTGGGGTCCTTGAAGGTGACAGCACAGTCTTTTAAAATGTCACCCTTTAATATGCACATTTACTGGCCCTTAGCACCTGCCAGGTAAGGAAGGAGAAAGACCGTGGGAAAAAACATGCTCTAGAGTCCTCTTACCAGCTGTGTAACTTCCTTGGACAGGCGTTTAGTGTTTTGGAACATTGATCTCCTTGCCGGCTTTCACTGAGCATCTACTCTCTGCCTAGCATTGAGCTGAGCGCTCAGGAGATGGGGACAGCCAGATACCGTCCTTGCCTCTAGGAATTCCAAGTTTCCCTTCTCTTTCAGTCCTCATCATTCCTGTCCTTGCCTCCCCCAGAATACAGGGAAAGGGTTTAGGCAACGTATGGGCAGCACTGGCAAGAGGGCACACAGACAATTCTGTCTTTCATCTTCCCTGACTTCTAGAGAATTAGATACTTATAGCTTTGGAAGCCATCTTAATTTATATTGTTTCTGTTTGCTGGAAATATTCTTCCTTCTTCCCCACTCCTTACCTATCCAAACCCTACCTATGCTTCAAGGCTCAACTCAAGTCCTGAATTCTCCAAAAAATCTCTCTCTAGGAAACCTCCAGGCCCTATTTCTTTCTTTCTTTCTTTTTGTTATTGAAACAATAACAAATATAGCACCACATTTGTCAATTCAACATTTTCCACATACACAATTCAGTGAGATTAATTACATCAGTCATGTTAGGCAACCATCACCAATATCCTTTGCCAAATGTTTTATCCTCATAAACAAAAACTCATCGCTTCCTAAACAATAATTTCTCCCATTACCCTCCCTCCAGCCCCTGATAACCACTATTAAACTCAGGCCCTATTTCTTTAATTGTTTCCATTTCTCTGTTCAATCTGGTCATCTTGTCACCAAGTACTAGATTGAAGTACTCGTTCAGTTATTGTTTCACTCGCCCGAGTTTGTTTCGCCTAGATAGATGATAAGTTTATTCTTTTATATCCCCAAAAGACCCTATCCCAATGCTGGGCACGCAGTAGGGAAACAATAGATAAGTTCTGTTGATTTCACCCACCCTAGGCTGAGAAACTTGAGGGAAGGAATGTTGTTTTATTCGTCTCTGCCTCCCTTGTCCTACCACAGTGTTTGCACATAGTAGGCACTTAAGAAACCGTTACTAAGTTGCAAAGGATACTGTGTTTGAAAGTGCCTAGGATGGTGCCTGGAATGCAGTAGCTGCTCAATAAAGATTTATTGACCAAGAATTGATTAAAGGATAGCAGAACTGTTCTGCTGCTGATGGCATTTTACCACGGTTGTCTAACCTCTAAAGACTTACCATTTCATTTAAGGTCTTTAAAATGGGGTTCTCCAGGGGCTCAGCAAAGGAGTTATACACGACACTAGGAAAAAAGAAAATAAATAAAGGTGCTTACTCAGGGACCAAAATCTGGAGGTTATAAACCTCCCCCAAGGGACTGCCTGAGAATCTAGCCCCAGACCAGCCACTACTCACTATGGTTCTCTTGCTCACCTGAGTTCTCCAGAGAACGAGACGTGGGCATGGCTCACTTGAGCGTGGCAGTCTTGGAGCTTCACAGTTGGGTGACCAAAGTCATTTCGGGACAGGTTAAGTATACCAGTGAAGAAGGTCCCAGAGAGGAACAGATTAGCTCTTCCTGCATCTTGGCTGTTGAGAGAAAAAGTGCCAGGTTACCCCAGCCTGCCCAGGGAGTGGAGCTGTATCTTGGTTCTTTGGTTACCCACAGAGTCTAAGCTCCTCGAGGGCAGGGACTTTCACATGGCCACCTCTGGATTCCCAGCACCTACCACAGGGTATGGCTTAGAGTAGGCGTTGAACGAATATTTACTGGACAAATGAAGTAATGAATATGTGAATGATGTTAGCTCTAGGAACCCTGTGGTTATTCCATCCTAAGTGCTCTGGCCCTGGTGGTGGCTGAGCACATACTGAGGTCCGTACATATACAATGTTTGCTAGGAAAAAGGAGGTCAGATGTAAAGTTGGCATCACCTTCCTTATTCAGGATGGGCATAGCTCCCGGATGGGGAAAGTACACTTCGATACAGTCTATGAACTCCTTGAGGGAATGGACTGTGTGTTATTCACCCTCATGTTCCCAGGATTTAGCACAGGGCCTGACACAGAATAAGCCCTTGATAAGTGGTTGATGACTCAGTGACTAATGAATGAACACATTCACTTTCACATGCTGTTAATGGGGGGAAGAGAGTCCCTGGGTGACGCAAACAGTTAAGCATTCAATTACTAGCTGAATGGTTGGCAGTTCAAACCCACTCAGTGGTGCCTCGAAGACAGGCCTGGTGATCTGCTTCAGAAAGGTCACTGCCTTGACAGCCCTATGGCGCAGTTCCACTTTGCATACATGGGGTCGCCATGAGTCAGAATCGACTTGATGGCAATGAACAACAGCCACCACATGGACGGGAAGTGTGTTGAATGATGTGCTCAAGACCATTCAGTGATTCACTGCTGTATCTAAAGTGTTGAGGCACATGTCTGTTGCTCTGACAGATGGGGACCTCTAGCTCTTTGAGAATCTTAAATGACATTTTGATAGATTATTGTGACTTTAGGGGAAACATGCTTTTCAGAACCACCAGAGTGACGATACTCTGGTTTAAATCTCTACTGGGAAAAAAAAAAAAAAAAAAGACGCTCTTGAGAAGGATTATTAAAGACTGAAGGAAAGAAGCCTAACATCAAAAAAGGTTGGCGAGTTTACAGATTTTCCATTTTTGCTCCATACCTTCCCAGTACGGTAGCAGACTTCAGTAGAATACTCACAAAAGCGGAGACTTGACTTCCCAGTCTGTGCTGATGTTGGCAGTTCCGTGATTGGTGAGCACTTTGATTCCCACTCCAGGCACAAAGGCTAATGAAGTATTTAGAAATGAAAGGGACTTGATTTTTATGCTGTAAAACAAGAAACAAAGGAGTTAGTGCAACTCTTCCAGCACATCTCTAAGTAAAGCAAAATTGGAAATGCGGTTGTAGAATTCCTGATGGTCAACAGTGCATTCCTATAGAGGAAGGACCACCACCCATCTGACAGTTGGTTGTACTGTGGTGCCTTGCATGTTGCTATCATGCTGGAAGCTATACCATTGGTATTTCAAATACCAGCAGGGTCACTTATGATGGACAGGTTTCAGCAGAGCTTCTAGACTAAGGCAGACTAGGAAGAAAGGCCTGGCTATCTACTTCCAAAAATTAGCCAATGAAAACTTTGTGAATCACAACAGAACATTGTTCGACTTGCTTGCTTTGGATATGTCATTGGGAGGAATCAATCATTGGAGGAGAATATCATGTTCGGTGAAGTAGAGGGCGCGCCAGGGTGAGGGAGACCCTTGGTGAGATAGATTGGCATAATAACCACAACAATGGATTCAAACATGCTGGTGATCGTTAGGATGATGCAACATTTCGTCCTGTTGTACATAAGGTCACCGTGAGTCAGAGCTGACTGGACGGCGGCTGTCTATCTGTCTGTCTGTTTACCTACTCACCTACCTACCTATCTAGTTATCCAACCATCCATCCATCCAATCTATCTATAGAGGAAGGAACCTCATGTCTGCAGTGCCATTTCTGTGCACTACTTTATAATTCCTCTCAAGCCCTTGGTAGGAAGCCCCTTGTGCCAAATTGAGGGCAGAAATGAACACATGTAGAAATAAACTGGCAAATAATAAAATAATCTAATTCTCTATAGCTTCTTTAAAAACAAAAATATAAAACATTGTCACCATTATTTTTTCCTTCAGCTGTCCCAGAGTTTCTCAGTGGGGATGATATTAGTATTTTGGATGGAATGACTATTTTTGTAGAGGACTGTCATGCACCTTGCAGGACATTTGGCATATATGCCAACTAAACGCCAGCAGTGCCACCTCCCAGTCATTGAGACAATCAAAAATGTGACCCCCTGCCTGTTTCCAAGTGGCCTCTATATGGGCAGTATCTCCCCTAGTTGAGAAACTTATTTTAGAGATTTAACTTCCCCTGGTGGTGCAGTGGTTAAGAGCTTGGCTGCTAACCAAAAGGTCGGCAGTTCGAATCCACCAGCTGCTCCCTGGAAACCCTATGGGGCAATTCTACTCTGTTCTACAGGGTCGCTATGAGCTGGAATCGACTTGACGACAAAAGGTTTTTTTTTTTTTTTTAAGGATTCTCTAGACTGCCTAACAGGTAATTAGGAGGCCATGAGTTGCATGTAATCTCCATAGATAGATGGCCACATGCTTTACGATAACTTATTATTATGGACATCTATTGAGTGATCACTACCTGCCAGGCACTGTGTAAGCACTCTACATGCATTAATTCACTTGAACCTGCACAACGACCCTCTGAGGTAGTTGCTGTTTCTGCAATCTCCAGCTCAGAGATGAGAAGATAAGGAACTCGGCTCAGGTCACGTATAAGCAGTAGAACAAGACCTGGAACCCTCCTGAATCCGTTTCCAGACTGCGCTGTCAACCACTAGGTTATGCCACTTCATACATTGTGCACTCGACCTGGAGCCAAGTTTTGTACTAGCTGTGCAGCCTTGTACAAGGTACTTAACCTCTTTGAGCTAATCACTCAGAGAAAGTATTACTCTTGGGTAGGTTGGAAAGATAAAATGAAATCATGTGTGTATAAGTGCTGTGCAGGAGAAAAGCACTGTTATGAACCAAGATTAGGAAATTTTTTAACATAAATGTGATAGCTGATAAGAAATGATTGTTTGTTATTTCCCCTTTTATGCATCCCTTTCTACCTATTTCCTGTTAGTTCTAGTGCTGCTATAACAGAAATACCATAAGTGGATGGCTTTAACAAATAGAAATTTATTCTCTCACAGTCTAGGAGGCTACAAGTCTGAGTTCAGGGTGCCAGTTCCAGAGGAAGGCTTTCTCTCTTTGTCTGCTCTGGGGGAAGGTCCTTGTCATCATTCTTCCCTGGTCTAAGAGCTTCTCTGTGCAGGAACCCTGGGTCCAAAGGATGCGCTCTGCTTCTGGCACTGCTTTTTTGGTGGTATGAGGTCCCCACGTCTCTCTGCTCGTTTCTCTCTTTTATATCTCAAAAGAGATTGACTTAAGATACAACCTAATCTTGTAGGTTGAGTCCTGCCTCATTAACGTAACAGCCGATAATCCCACCTCATTAACATCATAGAGGTAAGATTAAAACACATAGGAAGATCACATCTGATGACAAAATGGTGGATAATCACACAACACTGGGAATCATGGACTAGCCAAGTTGACACACATTTTTTGGGGGGACACAATTAAATCCATAACACACGTTCTGAGTCCCACTGTCAGAATAGCCTCGCAGATATTCATTTAACATGTTTTGAAAATATTTTCATTTTGATACATGTAAATTTAACCCATTATTTATAACTGCTGCAAAATATTCCAAGCTGTGGACTTATCATTAAAAAAAAAAGTTATTCCCTTGTTTGATGGACATCTAGGTTGTTTGTGGTATTTCTGTGTTATAAACAATGCTGCAATGAACATCCTCCTACACGCTACTTCTGTGCATAGGTTTATTTAGAGAAGTGTTAAGAAGTGGAATTTTGGGGTCTAAGGTCATGCATATTAAAAAAAAATACTTGTAAATCATGTTCTAAAACAGCATTGTTCCATAGAAATACAATATGAGCCACATCTATAATTTAAAATTTTCTAGTAGGCACATAAAAAGGCCAAGTAAAAAGGAAAAATTAATTTTATTAATATTTTTAAATTAACTCAATATATCCAAAATATCGTTTCAACATGTGATCATCTAAAATTATTAATGAGATACTTTCTTTTATTTTTTCCAAAATGAATCTTCAAAATCTGGTATGTATTTTACTATTTTACACTCATGATACATCTCAGTTCAATGAATTTTCATTGGAAATACTTGACCTGTATTAAGAATTTATAAAATTTGCAGTTGAAAAAGCAAATTTGGATACCCAAATTGTTCCAAACATACTTAAACGTTTTTCAGTAACTGAATTGCGTGTCGGTTTTAAATTAAAATCAAAATGAAATAAATTAGCAAATTAGTTCCTCAGTTACACTAATCACATTTCAAATGCTCAATAGCCACATGTGGCTAGTGGCTACTGTTTGGACAGCGCAGATCTAGAATTGTTGTACCAGTTTATCTGCTCTAATCTGCAATGCACAAGAGCACCTGTTTTTCCTTATCTTCACCTGCACTTGGTATTATGCAATTCATCTTGTATTTTTCTGCTGTGGCATTATTATCATTTTCATTAGATAATTTAATGCCCATCTCTCCACTGGACACCAAGGGCACCCTGCACGTCTGTGTTGTTCACTAGGATACCCGTTATGCCTAGCTAAGTAGGCGCTAAATAAATACTTGTTGAATGGCTGACTTTATACAAATTAGGACATCCACTAGGAGCTTCCCCTAGGTCACTGTCCCAAGAAACGAAACAAAACAAAACAAAAACTCTTGGTTTTATAGAATGTTGTCCCTGACACCGGGGAAATGATTACTCCAAAGGATTGGAGTGGCAAGGAATTATCACTGGATTGATGAAGCATTGGAGCACAATTGTGAGTCACAGTCACAGAGAACTCCTTATACATGCCTGACTCTCCCCTAACCTTTAAGGTTCAGCTCAAGATGGACAGAGGCATTCTCTTTCTGCACTGCCTTTGGGGACCTTGTTGACAACTATGACAGAGGCTGCCAGTTGCTGTATGAACATCCATTTTTCTTCTTCTTTCCTAAAATATCCCTGAATTTGTTGGGGATGAAAAAGTTGTCTGGTTGCAAAACTAATTTCCCAATCTCACTTGCAAATAAGATGACTCCATATGACTAACCTCTGTCTGTTGTTACATAACCGAATAAATAAACAAGCAAAAAACAAAAAAAACCAAAAAACAAAAACCAAAAAAAACCAAACCTATTGCTGTTGAGTCGATTCCGACTCATAGCGACCCTACAGGACAGAGTAGAACTGCTCCATAGGGTTTCCAAGCAGCGGCTGGTGGATTTGAGCTGCCGACCTTTTGTTAGCAGCCAAGCTTTTAACCACTGCGCCACCAGGACTCCGTTGATACGTAAGCCTATTGATACATAGGCAGGATATTATTATGGTGAAGCTTCAGCAAAAAAAAAAAAAAAACTTATTAAAGAGGAGACTGACTCAGTTTATAAGAGGCTTTATTCTTGTCTCTGCCTCCTTCCAGCTGCCTGAAACATGAATTTGATGGCTGGCGCTGCAGTGGCCATTTTGGACCATGAGGCAACCATAAGGATAGAAGGATGTTAGAGCAGAAAAAGGTAAGGAGACTGGATTCTGATGAAATCATGAGGGTCCCACAGGATCCCTGGACTGTTTCCTTTGAGCCTCTTGTATGTGAGAATAAAATGAACCCATTATTTTTAAGTCACTATAATTTGTATTTTCTGTTATATTTAACTGCACTTTATCTCTAATTGATACAACTTCAAAGCTCTGGGCTGGATGAAGCAATGTGATAATTCCATTGTTCTTACAATAATGTCCTTATGTTGTCACTATGGATATCAACTGACACTTGTACAGTAATTGAAATTTTATGAATATCTTCATATTTGTTACTTCATTTGGTTTTTAGTGTTTAATATTTACATTTGATTTTATTACTATAACATGGTAGAAAAGATTATAACTGTCAACAGAATTCTTTTTAGGAAGAGAACTTTACTGGTTAGAAAATTGTGTTGAAAATCAGTTAGGGTAGAAACAGAAATAGTTTGGTGCTCAGGAATGGACGGAAGTGCTTTGCATGATACCAGGAAAAGAAATTTTTGTTGCTAGAGAGAGGGAGAAGGGAAAAGAAAGATTAAAAAAGGGGCGGGGTGGGGGCGAGTCTAGACAGCTAGAGGGCAGAAGGCCATGTGCCCTGTGATTGATTCCTATGACCTCTGAAATCTTGACTAAATTACTAAAAGTAGGAAAGAATTTATGAGAGTAGATTTCTTTTTGAGACTGTCATGGTTTGAATTATGTTCCCCCAAAAATGCGTGTATCAGTTTAGCTGGGCCATGATTCCTGGAACCGTGTGATTTTCCTGTATGTTGTAAATCCTGCCTCTATGATGTTAATGAGGGAGGATGGGTGGCAGTTGTGTTAGTAAGGCAGGACTGGATCTACAAGACTGGATTGTGTCCTGAGGCAATCTCTTGAGATATAAAAGACAGAAGTGAGCAGAAAGACAGGGGGACCTCATACCATCAAGAAAGCAGTGCTGGGAGCAGAGTGCGTCCTTTGGACCGGGTTCCCTGTGCAGAGAAGCTTCTAGTCCAGAGGAACACTGATGAGAAGGCTGACAGAGAGTGAAAGACTTCCTCTGGAGCTGACGCCCTGAATTTGGACTTTTAGCCTACTTTACTGTAAGGAAATAAATTTCTCTTTGTTAAGACCATCCACTTGTGGTATTTTTGTTATAGCAGCACTAGATGGCTAAGACAGAGACTGTGGTTGAATTCTACATCCAGGTTTATGGAGGTAGGAGGTGGGTGTTATGGACTGAATTGTGTTCCCTCCCCCCAAATGTGTCAACTTGCTAGGCCACAATTCCCCGTATTGTGTGGTTGTCCTCCATTTTGTGTTCTGATGTAATTATCCTATGTTTTGTAAATCTTAACCTCTACGATGTTAATGAGGCAGGATTAGAAGCAGTTATGTTAATGAAGCAGGACACAATCTACAGGATTAGGTTGTATCTTGAGTAAGTATCTTTTCAGATATAAAAGAGAGAAGTGAACACAGAGGAGAGGGACCTACTACCACCAAGAAAGAAGAGCCAAGAGCAGAGCTCATCATTTGGACCTGGGGTCCCTGCACTGCAAAACTCCTAGACCCAAGAGAAGATTGATGACAAGGACCTTTCCCTAGAACCAACAGAGAGAAAACCCTTTCCCTGGAGCTGGAGCCCTGCATTTGGACTCCTTTACTGTGAGACAACAAATTTCTGTTAGTTAAGCCATCCACTTGTGGTATTTCTGTTACAGCAGCACTAGATGACTAAGAGAGTGGGGATGGAATGAACAAGAATTTCATTTAGAACTCAAGGGGCCAGGTGGCCCCTTCTGATATCTGTGTTGAATCAAAGTGTTCATCTTAGAGGCGAGCACTTTGAGTCTCAGAGCAGACATGCCAGGTACACACAATGAGTGTGCAGCCAAGATGTGACTTGGACGCAGGTGTTGTGACCCAAATGCCACACTCTGTCACATGACCCTTCTTTCTTGGGTTCTTTATCACGTCAGTCAACCAGCTGATAAGCCTTTCTCAAAGGTTAACTGCAGGTCTAGGCATTCTACCAGACCATATGGTAGTATATCCAGGACTCTGAAATTTTAAAGATTAATTTCTCTGATAAAAATGCTCTCCTCTTTTACTTACTTTGAAAAATTGTAGCTCACATAATCAATCTTTAGAAAGTCAAGAGATTCAGAGCCTTTTAAATCTGGGATGCTCTTTTCCATTATCATTTGCTCGATTGTCTCCATCCCAGCTTGAATGCCTGTGAAGAAAACAAAGAAAGTGTCTATTGATAACAACAAAGATGGTAATGATGTAATATCATTAACCACACAAGTTCAATTTATTGAGTAAGGCATTCTCTTAGATACTTAGAAGACAGCAACTCTTGAAAGTGGGTATTATTGTCTTTGTTTTACAGATGGAAAAAAATTGATCCTCGGTGAGTATAAGTAACTTCCCCAAGACCACAGAGCTAATATGAGAAATTTTCATTGTGTGGCTAGTGCTAAAGGACTTGATCACAGCACAAGTGTAATAGGAAAAGTAAAAAATATTCTTTAGTGAATCAAATTATAATTATCATCCGCATTTTACAGATGAGGAAACTGAGCTTCAGAGAGATTAATTTTACCCCAAGCCACACAACTAAGAACTGGGGGAGCCAGTAGTCAAATCTGGGCAATTTGTTTCCAGAATCTGTGTGCTATGGCTAGTTCCAGAAAGTTATTCCACATTCTCCATTTCTTCCAGATTCTTTAATCTCAGAAATTTTTGACCTGAGGACCACGGGCCCCAGAAAACTTCTGAACTCCCTGAAACTCTAATGAACGGCTGTGAGTGAGTTATGTGTGTATGTGTGTGTGTGTGTGTGTGTGTGTGTGTGTGTGTGTGTGTGTGTGTATGCGTGTGTGTGTGTGTGCGCGTCTCATTTTTCAGGGGAGATGATCCACATTTTCATCACATTCTTAAAGCATCCTAGGACTCCAAAAAGGTTAAGAACCACTGCTTTCGTTTAATTCTGCAACAACCCATCAAGCCTTCTATTATAGTGCCACAGACTACCTTTCTCTGAACTCATGGGGATAAAGAGCCCTCTTCCACATTAAAGAGCTTCAGAAAAGTAATTTATACAGTGATAACAACTGATCTTTTAATTTTAACCTTGGTCTCTTACTGGTATTATTTTGAAATTCTGCCTTCATTGCTTTCTTTGCAACTTAAGCTCATTTCCATTTATCCTATCTTTGTTGGAGATGAAGAAGAGCAGATTTTATCCTCTATAATGCCATGAATAATCTTGTAACATGGGGAAGTAAAGATAGAATATAAAGGATATAAAGATAGAACCAAAGGCACTATCAGACAGCATCATTTACTAGTTTATGTGACTGTGCAATTTACATAATCTCTCTGTCCCTCAATATTCTCATTTGTAACATGGGACCAATAGTAACTGGATGGGTCTGGTCACACAAGTGAAGACAACAGTAGCCAATGTTTGTTGGATATTTGCTATTGCCAGACCATATTCTAGACCCTATAGGACAGAGTAGAACTGCCCCATAGAGTTTCCAAGGAGCACCTGGTGGATTCAAATTCCAGCCTTTTTGGTTAAGCAGCCGTAGCACTTACCACTACGCCACCAGGGTTTCCATTCTAAGTGCTTTATATGTGTTAATTCATTTATTTCCCGCAACAACCTGGGTAGGTACTATTATTATCATCTCCATTTTAATAAATATCTTGCAGGTACTACTACTAATAATAGAAAGGGGGCAGTGGTGGTTCAGAGGTAGAATTCTTGCCTTTCAAGTAGGAGGTCTGGGTTTGATTCCTAGGAAATGCACCTCAAGTGCAGTCACCACCTGTCTATCGGTAGAGACTTGTGTGTTGCTATGATGCTGAACAGGCTTCAGCAGAGCTTCAAGAATAAGACAAACTAGGAAGAAAGGCCTGGCAATCTACTTCCAAAATGAAAAGCCAATGAAAACCCTGTGGATCACAACAGTGTGATGAGTTGGGGGCTGACTCGCCATGGGTTGGGGGCCAACTCGACAGCAGCTAACAACAACAACAATAAGAATAGCCATGTCAAATCTTTTTCTGTAAAAATATAAGTTCATAAATAATTGATGAAATAAAAGTAATAATAGGCAATTTGTATTGAGTGCCTGTATGTGCTGGGACTGTCTACACTCTACACATACTTTCTCTTTTAATCACCACAGAAACCCAATGATACAGGTATTATTCCAAGTTCACATAGGAGGCATCTGAGGCTCAGAGAGTTTCACTAGCTTGCCCAAGAGCCCACAGCTAGTGAGGATCATTATCCAGGGCTTGGAGGACTAGGGAGTAGAGGACAGAGCAGAGGTGTTAGGATCAGGCAGAGCAGACCTGAGTTCCTATCTTTCACTGGTGTGTGACTTGGGAAATTTAGTTCAGCCCCTCTGAGACTCAGATTCCTCCTCTGTGAACTAACAAAACCTTCTTCATAGGGTTGAAGGTTGGAATTAAGCCAGCACAGGGCCCATAAAGCACATATCACAGATCCTGGCTATAGCAGATGCTCAAGAAATGGTTTTGATTTCAAAGCCTGTCCTTCTCTACCCCATGCTATACTCACACAGCTTATCTCATTTGATCCTCACATCAACACTAGAGGTAGGCACCGTTATTATCATGACTCCATTTTCCAGACGAGAGAACAGACTGGCCCAAGGTCATGTACTAGGAAAGGGCAGAACTGAGATTTGCACCCATGTGGACTGACTTCAGATCTGCTCTTTTAACTGTTCTGCTATAGGTGATGGAATAAACTGTTCCATTAACTTTAATATCATCACAAGATTTCTATTTTTGATATATATTTCTATGCACATCAGCATATCAGTGCAGTAATCATCCATAGAGTAACTATATATAGTCCACTAATCATTACATAGCTTAGCTTTATGTGTGTTTCTGTTTAAAGACACCTTATTTAATATGTATTTTGATTCATTAACATTGAACTCATGGCCAACAGCACTATAACTCATGCTGAACCAAGCTTATCTGTTGTTGTTAGGAACCAGAAGAATGAGATTTGACTCCCTGTTGCCTGATGTGATCTTGAACAAGTCATTCAGACTCTCTAAGCCTCAGTATCCACCTGTCTAAAATGGACGTAAGATGTTGTGAGTTTTGTAAATGGTTGTTGTTGTTAGGTTGCCGTCAAGTCAGCTCCGACTCATATGACCCTATGTACAACAGAACAAAACACTGCCCAGTCCTGCACCATCCTCACAATCATTGCTATGTTTGAGCCCATTGTTGTAGCCACTGTGTCAATCCATTTCATTGAGGGTCTTCCTCTTTTTCGATGACCTCTGCTTTACTAAGCATGATGTTCTTCTCCGGGGACTGGTCCCTCCGGATAACATGTCCAAGGTACATGAGATAGAATCTCCCCATCCTCGCTTCTAAGGAGCATTCTGGGTGTACTTCTTCCAAGATTGATTTGTTTGTTCTTCTGGCATTTCATGGTATATTCAACATTCTCCACCAACACCATAATTCGAAGGCATCACTTCTTCTTCAGTCTTCCTTATTCATTGTCCAGCTTTTGCATAAGTATGAGGTGATTGCAAATACCATGGTTTGGGTGAGGCACACCTTAGTCCTCAAAGTGACTTCTTGGTTTTTTAACACTTTAAAGAGGTCTTTTGCAGCAGACTTGCCAAAGGCAATACGTCTTTTAATTTCTTGACTACTGCTTCCATGGGTGTTGATTGCAGATCCAAGTAAAGTGAAATTTTTTACAACTTCAATATTTTCTCTGTTTATCATGACGTTACTTATTGGTCCAGTTGTGAGGATTTTTGCTTTCTTTATGCCGAGGTGTAATCCATACTCAAGGCTGTGGTCTTTGATCTTCGTCAGTAAGTGCTTCAAGTCCTCTTCACTTTCAGCAAGCAAGGTTGTGTCATCTGCATATTGCAGGTTGTTAATAAGTATCCCTCCAATCCTGATGCCCCATTCTTCTTCATATAGTCCAGCTTCTCAGATTATTTGCTCAGCATACAGATTGAATAAGATGGTGAAAGGATACAACCCTGATACACACCTTTCCTGATTGTAAACCATGCAGCATTCCCTTGTTCTGTTCGAATGACTGCTTCTTGGTCTATATACAGGTACTCATAAGCACAATGAAGTGTTCTGGAATTCTCATTCTTTGCAATATTATCCATTATTTGTTATGATTCACACAGTCGAATGCTTTTGCATAGTCAGTAAAACACAGGTAAACATCTTTCCAGTATTCTCTGCTTTCAGCCAAGATCCATTTGACATCAGCAATGATATCCCTCGTTGCACATCCTCTTCCGAATTTGGCTTGAATTTCTGGTAGTTCACTGTAAATGTACTGCTGCAACTTCTTTTGAATTATCATCAGCAAAATTTTACTTGTGTGTGATATTAATTATATTGTTTGGTAATATCTACATTCTGTTGGATCACCTTTCTTTGGAATGGGCACAAATATGGACTCTTTCAGTCAGTTGGCCAGGTAGCTGTCTTCCAAATTTCTTGGCATAGACAAGTGAGGCGCTTCCAACGTTATATCCATTTGTTGAAACATCTCAGTTGGTATTCTGTCAATTTTCTGGAGCCTTGTTTTTCACCAATGCCTTCAGTGCAGCTTGGACCTCTTCCTTCAGTACCATGGATTCTTGATCATATGCTACCTCCAGAAATGGTTGAAGGTCAACCAATTCTTTTTGGTACAGTGACTCTGTGTATTCCTTCCATCTTCTTTTGACGCTTCTCGCATCTTTTAGTATTTTGCCCACAGAATCCTTCAATATTGCAACTCGAGGCTTGAATTTTTTCTTCAGTTCTTTCAGCTTGAGAAGTGCTGAGTGTGTTCTTCCCTTTTGGTTTTCTAACTCCATGTCTTTGCACATTTCATTATAATAGTTTTCTTTGTCATCCTGAGCTGCCCTTTGAAATCTTCTATTCTGTTCTTTTACTTCATTTCTTCTGTTTGCTTTGCTACTCTATGTTCAAGAGTAAGCTTCAGAGTCTCTTCTGACATCCATTTTGGTCTTTTCTTTCTTCTTGTCTTTTTAGTGACTTTTTGCTTTCTTCATGTGTGATGTCCTTGACGTCATTCCACAATTCGTCTGGACTTCGGGTCGTTAGTGTTCAATACATCAAGTCTATTCTTGAGATGGTCTCTAAATTCAGATGGGATACACTCAAGCTTATCTAATACCTGTTTGTTCTCTGTAAGCCACAATACTGTCTTCTTGTGCTTAGGAATACTAGTAGACAGCACTTCAGAACTACACTTAGGGGGCATTTTTAAATAGTGAAATCACCAACATAAAACAAAAAATGGGAAAAATGTGACACTAAATAAACCAAAAAACCCAAACCCATTGCCTTCGAGTTGATTCTGACTTATAGTGACCCTGTAAGGACGAATAAAACTGCCCCATAGGGTTTCCAAGGCTGTAAATCCTTACAGAAGCAGACTGCCACATCTTTCTCTCATGGAGTGGCTGGTGGGTTTGAACCTCCAACCTTTCATTTAGTAGCAAAGTGCTTTAACCACTGTGCCGCCAGGGCAAATGACACATGTTTATAGTATGATAGCTGAAACAAGAAAGCAGAGCATTGTCTCCTTTGACCTCAGCTGGGAACATGCAGGTTGGGCGACTCAAACTTTTTGCCTCTCTGCGCGTGCACATGTCTGTAAATGACTGTGCATATGTTGCAAGTATTGATTTTAGGATGACAAATTTTAGCAAGTAGGTGAATTCGCAAATACAGAATTCATAAACTATGAGGATGGACTACATATTTGTGTATATATTTGTGATGTATATCATATATACATATTCCTGATATGTATTTCTACACACATAACAATCGTGCAAGATGATTCAATTTTAGATTTCCTGTGCCAGATAAAAACAAACAAACCCATTGCCATCGAGTCAATTCCTACTAATAGTGACCCTATAGGACAGGATAGAACTGCCCCATAGGGTTTCCAAGGAGTAGCTGGTGGATTTGAACTGCTGACCTTTTGGTTAACAGCCAAGCTCTTAACCACTGCACCACCAGGGCTCCAAACACAGGGGTTAAGAGCTTGGCTGATAACTAAAAGGTTGCAGTTTGAATTCACCACCTGCTCCTTGGAAACCCTATGGGCCAGTTCTACTCTGTCCTATAGGGTCGCTATGGGTAGGGATCGACTCGATGGCAGTAGGTTTGGTATTTGTTTGGTGCCAGATGAGGAACTGGGGAAAAGACAAGGAGTTGCCCAAAAGTCGGTCGGCTTGTTTTCCACAGTAGGGACTAGATCACCCCACAGTAGTGACTGGATCACCCCACAATAAAAAAAACAATACCTGTCACTACTGAGTCAATTCCAACTCATGGTGACCCCAAGGGTTAGAGAGTAGAACTGTTCCATAGGGTTTTCTTGGCTGTAAGTTTTATAGAAGCAGATTGCGAGGGCTTTCTTCCACAATGCTGCTGAGTGCGTTTGAACTGCCAACCTTTATTTAGGTTTGTAGTCAAGTGCAAACCATTTGTGCCACTAAGGGTCCTTTACCTCACAGTAGGGACTGGATCACCCCATGGTAGAGTTTATCTGAGTCATGAGACACCTCAAGTTATCAGCTGCTAGATTTGGGTTGTAGATCCCACCTAGGTGGGCTGCATCCTGGCTTCTGAGAGCATCCAACTCACCATAGTCCAGTGCCCGTTGAGTAATCCTTGCCTTGATTCCAGGATAAACAGTCTGAGAAGATGCAATGTTGAGATTCCACAGGAGGAAACAGCCCCAGAGGACTTGGACCATCGTTGTATGCATCTGCAATTAACCAACATTAATGGTTCCTTTATTATGCTTAACTTTCTCATTAGTCAACTCCACCCAGCAATTCTAGGCTTCCTCATTTTCATTGCTCACTGTCAGAACTCCATCCATCCATCCATCCATCCATCCATCTAGTAATCATCTATTGAACATTCCAAAACATGTTCTAGGTGCTGAGGATGTAGAGATGACCTACCGTATTTTTACACAAATAGAGCGTGCCTTCTACATTTGTTGCCAATCGCGCCCTACCCCTGCAAATTATTTTCATAAGCACCATTATGCCAATTGTTTCTTTGCATGTTGCTGTAAAAAATGTAGCATAGTTTACTTATGAAAATAGCTCTCGGGGGAGGGTGCAGTTGGCAAACAAACATAGAAGGTGCACAGTATTTGTGTAAAAATATGGTACTCGCAGCTCTTGACCTCTGCTTCCCACAGACTAGTGAGTCAGTCATACACACAGATGTAATAATCTAATATCTAATGTAATAAGATACAATATGATACAAAAGCTTTGCAGTAAATGCAATGATGAGAATATGTCCCCAGAAGGATACTGGGGGGGGGGGGGGCGGAATTCTTGACAATTTTATAATAAACAAGTTAATAGTTTAGAAAGATGGCCTTAGTGGCCATGAGATAATTACCCATCTGCTTAAAAACCCTTCATGGCTCTCCTTTGCCCATAGGGTGAGGTTTCAGCTCAACATGGCACTCAAAGCCTTTCAACAACTGGCTCCAAACTCCTTTCTATTTCTCTTCCTCCTCTCCTGTCCAAGTGGTGGTGCTCTGGGCTGGCCACACGAACTGTTTGGTATTCCTCAATTTGCCATTTCTCTCATGCTTGGGTTTTTTTATCCAACCCTCTTAATATAGACACATATGCATGTTCTCTGTCCTTTAGGTAGCTTTGCAAGCGTCATCTTCTTGGTGAAGCCTTTTCCTAACCACAACCTACAAAACAATCACTATTCCCCATGACCCTGGTATTCCTTGTGCCCCTCCCCTTTCTTTATTTCTCTCCAAAGACTTACCATCATCTTACATGGTATGTTGTTGTTAGCTGCCATCGAGTTGATCCCCAACTCATGGTGACCCCATGCATGAAAATCCTATGGCTCACAAATGAAACGCTACCCGGTCCTATACCATCCCCATGAACAGTTTCCGATTGGACTGTTGTGATCCATAAGGTTTTCATTGGCTGATTTTCAGAAGCAGATCCCCAGACCTTTCTTTCTAGTCCATCTTAGTCTGGATGCTCTGCTGAAACCTGTTCAGCATCATAGCAACATGCAAGTCTCCACTGATAGACGGATGGTGGCTGCACATGAGGTGCATTGGCTGGGAATTGAACCCAGGTGTCCTGCATAACTAAACCAAAAAACCTGTTGCCGTCGAGTCGATTCCAACTCATAGCAACCCTATAGGACAGAGTAGAACTGCCCCCATAGGGTTTCCAAGGCGCAGCTGGTAGATTCGAACTGCCAACCTTTTGGTTAGCAACCGAATGCGTAACCACTGTACCACCAGGGTTCCAGATCTCCTGCATAGAAGATGAAAATTCTACCACTGAATTACCACTGCCCCATAACGTAGTATATAGTTACTTATTTTTTATTGTGCATCTCCCCCACTGGAATTTTTAGGCTTCATGGGAAGGGAAAGGACTTCATTTCTTCAGCACCCAGAACAGTGACTGGCACACAGTAGGCAAGGACCAAATTTTGAATGATTGATTAGATGGCTGAATTAATGTCTTTTCCATGAGTCTGTGAAGGGGGCCATGTTTGCCTTCTGGGTTCCCACACACTTTGGGCAGACCTTGTCTTAGGGTGTTTCACCGTGCATTGTGATGATCTTTTAGTTGTCTGTCCTTTTGTCACAGGGATTATGTCTTACTTCTCTAACTCCAGAGTCTAGTGCAATGATCGGTACATAGTGACACAAAATTTTTTCAGTTAAATAAACATTCTCTCCAACAGGCGGGAACATACTTTGTTCACTATTATACTGCCAGTGCTTGGCAAATACTAAGTGACCAATGTATGCCTGTTAAATTAATGGACTAAATGAATGAATGTTGCCCCATTTTCTTGAAGGAGGAAGCACAGGTACGGTAAGCAACAGTGATATGGGTTTCTTTTAAGGATACCAAGTGAGCAGTACGTTCACAGGCCTTGTGTCTATGTTCTGAGAGTTTACAGTCTGGGTGAGCTGTCCCTGCTGCACTCGCATGTCACACGTGCCAAAGACCCGCAGGCGACAAGCACTCATTGAGCTAATACACAAGCATGAAACAAATCAGGGAAGAGTAAGTTGTGGGAGCCTTGTGTTTAGGCAGAGGGAGGGGCCAGGTCATGTGGGTGAGGTAAGGATTTGGAGTGGGGCTGGGATTCGGGGGCTGTCTGAATGGTTGTTGTAAGAGTTGGGGGAATGCTTGGCCAAAGGAAACAAGAGGTTTGGTAAAGTGGGTTGTGTGGGCTTATGGGTGAGGCTGTGGGGGTGGGAATGTAATGATGTAGCCCAAAAGAGGTCCAGAGAATTACTGGAAAGGCACATAGCCATCTGATCAGGGAAGGGGGTGTCCAAGTAGGCTGTTACTAGCCTATCTTAGGCTTTTGTGTGAAATGGGAAAAGGCACCCCTCCATGCAACCATGCTGGCAGAAAATGGGTCCAGTGGAAAGCATTTTCGGGAAACCCCACTCCAGTGTATCCAGCTTGATGGGGAGAGCAAGGGCTGGCTCACAAGCCCACTTGGACTGGCATTTTGGGTAGCACATAAACTGCCCAGCTTACACAGCGGGCCTGTGCTCAGGTTAGTGGGTGCTCATGTGGACACTTCACTGGAGGGTCATGAGGTTGAGAATTAGGGTTTTGGCTTGTCTATTCCATAATGCACAGGTCCACTTTCAATTCTGAGGAGAAGTCGACGTAGTAAATCCGCTTACACCTCTCACCTGCTCTCCTTGGAGTCCCTCTGCATGTCCTGTCATACAGCCAAGCGGAACTCCTAAGCACACACCACATTTCCCCCCTAATGCCTTTGCTTATGTGGTTCCCCCTTTATCCAGACCTGCAAAAATCCTGTGTATCCTTCATGTCCATTTCAAGTACAACCTTCTTTCTGAAGCCATTTCTGACTTCCCTAAGCAAAGCTAATCTCATTTCTTTCTGAACTCTCTCTTGTACTGATCAAAATATACATTTATTTATGTGTGTGATTATTTTCTTGTTTATTGTCTATCTCCCCTACCAGAATGTAAGTGCCATGAAGACAGAGACTTCACCTGGTTTGGGGGTTCTAGAGCCTGGCTCAGTGCCTGGGACACAGTGGGTGACTGGTAAGTGTTGGTGGAATGAATCAATGAATTAATAAACAAAAGAATGGCCCTTCACTCTACATGTATTATAGTTAGACACAGTGGTGACTAATGAAGTATTTATACTCGAGTAGAGTACAGGCAACGTCCCTGGGTGACACAAATGGTTTGTGATCGACTACTAACCTAAAGGTTGGTGGTTCCAACCCACCCTATGGTACCACGGAAGAAAGGCCTGGCGATCTGCTTCCATAAAGATTATATCCAAGAAAACGTTATGGAGCTCAGTTCTACTCTGTAACAGGAGGGGTTGCCATGAGTTAGAATCATTTGATGGCAGCGTGTTTGTTTTTTGGGTTTTTAGAGCACAGGCACCTATGAGAGTAAATGTTGGCCACAGTCCTAGATCAGGGACTGGGAGGTTAGTTACTGGATTATGGGGAGGACAGGGGAAGTTTTGGCAAAGTGACCGGGGTGGTTGGGGTACTGGGGGCAAAGGGGGGAGACTCAGAACAGTGGCTATTTACCATTAGAAGCTGAATTAGTTCAACATTTTAACACTAGTGTGTGGCCTTATGAAGGAGCCCTGGTGGCACAGTGGTTAAGCGCTCAGCTGCTAACCAAAAAGTTGACAATTTGAACCCATCCAGTGGCTCTATAGGAGAAAAGAGCTGGTGATCTGCTTCCATAAAGATTACAGCCTAGGAAACCCTATGGGGCAGTTCTACTCTGTTACATGTGGTCTCTATGAGCTGAAAATCCACTCAATGTCAACAACAGCAACGTGGCTTTATGTACCCAGTCTGACGTTTATCAGCCCTGCAGAGTTGATCCGGGTTATATATACAGGACACTATACAGAAAGAACCTTGGTAGCAGTGTCATGGACTGAGAATAAGGTGCAGTGCTGGAGAGAGGGCTTAGTAAGAGGGGTTGATGATGGTCAGGGTGCAGGCAACACCAAGGGAAGCACAGAGGGGTGGAAGTGAGAGCCAAGAGGAAGGGACTCAGGTAGGAGAGGAGGGTCTGGCCAAGCAATGAATGATCTGAGGGTTAGAGGAAATTGAGAAGTGGGATAAGCAAATGGGAAGTCCTTCATGTCCTGGTAGGCAAGGTGATAGTAACAATATCGAATCTCAACATCTTGGAGTACCTGGGTAGTACAAATGGATAACGTGCTTGCCTGCTAACTGACAGATTGGAAGTTAGAGTCCAGCTAGTGGCACCTTGAAAGAAAGGTCTGGAGATCCACCTCCAAAAAATCAGCCATTGAAAACTCTGTGGAGCACAGTTCTACTTGGACACACACGGGGTTGCCATGAACTGGTGTCAACTCCATGGCAATTGGATTGGCTAATTTCAACATCTAATAATTAGAATGGATGCACGTCTCTCCTGCAGGAGCAAGGTCCAGCTGGCCGTTGGCTGTGCTAGGCTTTCCTTAATCCTTTAGTTGTCTTGGGGGAATGCCCAGGGGGTCCTGGAGCAGGGGATAGTCAGAGGTGGATGGGGCTATAGGAGTGAGGGGTATTCCCAGGGCTTGGCTTAGTTGCTGTTTACCAGTTGGTATAGCAGTGTTTCCATATTTTAACACACAGTGAGGTCATGCTGAATTGTAACTGTGCTAATATCATTGTAGGCAAAGAATTATGAATGGATGTGTCATGCCAAGGCAGGCATCAAAGGGATCTTTTAAAAAGAAGAAACCATTTTCATAGCAATGGACAGCATTGAGAAACACTGTTAAACCAAAAGTCTATACCCATTAAACTTTATGCAAATTGAAGCAGAAATTACGTCTTTATCTCTGCCTGGCACATAGGAGGACCTCAGTAAATGTTTGTTGACCGACAACTGACTGGCTTACAAGATTCTGGCTGACTAAGAAAGGTACTAGAAAAGGTTGGGAAAAAATGAAAAACTAAAACGTTATATATACAGCTCTCCATTTCCACAATGTAAAAACCGAATGAACCAAACCAGAAATATTACTTGCTAATAGAATAACCACTAAAATAATAAATTTGTGTTGCCTTATCATTTGCGAAATGCCTGCCAAAGCTAGACAGTGGAAGACCGAAGAAGAATTGATGCCTTCGAATTATGGTGTTGGCGAAGAATATTGAATATACCATGGACTGCCAGAAGAGCAAACAAATCCATCTTGGAAGAAGTACACCCAGAATGCTCCTTAGAAGCGAGGATGGGGAGATTTCATCTCATGTACTTTGGACATATTATCAGGAGGGACCAGTCCCTGGAGAAGGCATCATGCTTAGTAAAGCAGAGGGTCAGCAAAAAAGAAGAAGACCCTCCATGAGATGGATTGACACAGTGGCTACAACAATGGGCTCAAACATAGCAATGATTGTGAGGATGGTGCAGGACTGGGCAGTGTTTTGTTCTGTTGTACATAGGGTCATATGAGTCGGAGCTGACTTGATGGCAATCTAACAACAACAACCATTTACAAAACTCACATCTTACTTCCATTTTAGACAGGTGGATACTGAGGCTTAGAGAGTCTGAATCACATCAGGCACCAGGGAGTCAAATCTCATTCTTCTCATTACTAATTCTAGTGTTTATGGATTTTTTTTTTCATTAAAAACTTGCTAAGCTCTAGATTTTTCATTTTCATCTGGAAATTTTAAGTAGGAGTTACATAATGCCATCTTCTATGTGGAAAAATTCATTAAACATCTGGAAATTCAAGTATCAAAGTGCAAATTCCTTTCTATTTTCTTGGTCACAAATGAAGTTTAAATTTCCTTCTAGCAGAAAAACCTGTTTTCGCTTCTTGGTTAAAGGAAGTTTCTGAAATGATATACTTTGATGGAGATGTAGGAACCCCAAAATGCAGATAAAAAGAATGTCTTTCCTTTAGAAATTTTATGAGTGAATGAAATTACTGGGGTATAAAGGGATGGGTTGTCCACAACTTTCAGTTAAATTGTTTGGTTGGTATAATAATTGATGGGCAGGTGAAGAAAAGAACCTTTTCAAGCAGAGAGATGACTCCTAAATGTTAAGTAATTGGCTGACAAGTAAGGGCAGGGTAAGTTCCCTGTTAAAAAAAAGGATCCAAGATGATTTCAAAAACCTTGCCAGCAAGTTACCTATTTTGTTGCTTCTCAGGAATTGCTTCTTTCCAAGATTCAAGGACTCAGAAGTCATTACATTTCCATACCAATATACGGACAGAATTAAGCCAAAAAACGAAAACAAAAAACTCAAACCTGTTGCTGTTGAGTTGATTTGACTTAGGGCGACTCTATGTCCCATATGTTACAGAGTAGAGCTGCTCTATAGTGTTCTTATGTCTACAATCTTTACAGAAGCAAATTGCCAGGCCTTTCTTTTAAGGCTCTCTAGGTGGGTTTGAACCGCCAATCTTTAGGTTAGTAGTCAAGCACAAACCATTTGTACCACCCAGGAATCTTATGGACAGAATTGTTGTTGTTAGGTGCCGTAGAATCAGTTCCAACTCTTCGTGACCCCATGTACAACAGAATGAAACACTGCCCCGTCCTACACCATCCTCACAATCATTGTTATGCTTGAGCGCATTGTTGTAGCCACTGTCAATCCATCTCATTGATGGTCTTCCTCTTTTTCGCTGACCTTCTACTTTGCCAAGTATGATGTCCTTCATGGACAGAGTAAAACTCCTAAATTAAATGTCTCTTGCCTGAGACATCACAATGACTAAAGATAAGGAACTCCAGTATAACTTAGAAAATTCTTGAGACTCACAGATCTTGGAGGAAAACTTTGACCAACTGTGAAAAAAAATGGTTAAAGGAGTAATAGTGAGTGAAACATAGCCTTCCGAACAGAGGCACAGATTAAAAAATTAAGTTCAACAGGTTTAAAGAAGATTAGCTGTAAGAAAGGAGCCCCGGTGGCACAACAGTTAAGCACTTGCCTGCTAACCGTAAGGTTGTTGGTTC